CTGACCGGTGTCCGTCTCGCCTTTTCCTTATGTGTTAAGCCGCGGCCAGATCCCCCTGTAAGTCCTCGCAGCGCCATTCTCCCCAGACCGTAATGATCTATCTGTGCCTCTGCACTGTTTAATCGCTCCCAAAAAGCCCTCACAGCATCCACCTTGTAATAATCACTTCACCACAAAGCGGTGCAGAAACGGCCAGTCTATCTTCTGTTCATTTCCCAGCACAGCGGTATCACCTGTAAAAAATATCCAAAGGACGCTAACTATCCGGGACCTCTGTCTCCACTTTTCTCAGCATGCTCTACGAGTCAGTTACAATCACAGCGGAAGGCGGCAGTGACTACCTCCACCTCCATTCTCAAACTAGACGTTGTGATTTAATATGCCAGGCCTTTGCTGCACTAAGCGACGTCCATTCGCTTTGCTATGAATCCCCATGGACTTCGTCCAGCTTTATAACCAACATAATTGATCAAGAAACCCTCGCAGGGGTTTCGGTGTCCAATTTTGAAGGGAAAAAAAGGATAACCCCACTGCCCTCTTATAAGAATGTTGTAAAAAGCGACCAGTTAGGGATGCTTACTTCGAAGTTGAAGTGCATCTGCCTGAGAGGCAAGGAACCAACTGTGTGCGTACAAAAAAGCCAGATTTCCAAAACGGATGGGCACGCAAAATTCAAGTTATGGAACAAGACCAGAGACCAAAATTGGACGAACAACCTTAACTTTACGCCAAAGTTTACAACTGGAGATCGATAAATAGAAGATCCAGTATGTTAAAGGACTGACATTTTAGACAGGATTACGTTTAACATATGGTTGTCTAAAAGATTTGACACAGCTGACAGCAGCAATTCAGTTCTGTTTGCACTTTGTTGAAAATTGCATTTGTTCTACATATAATTAAAACATACCTTGTCACCTAATAGCTGAAATTAGTCTCTATCAAACATTTTTTTTTGAAATGGCTTTTATAAAATTAATTACGTTTTTGTTAATCATATTTTGTTTTACTACTAATAGCTTGCATTTTCAACAATAATATTCAACTTTACTAATCCCAGTTCCGTTAGCTGTAGTTAAATTTTCTCCTTGCAATGTAAAAATTGGATGTAATTGTTTAAAGTAGAAGTAAGTAAAGATCCCTTTCCACGCCGTTAGGCGCGTCGGGCATATGGGAAGAGCACCCATACTTTTACAGACCTGTCGGCACTAGGTGGGTAATGTGGTCAGCATTACGCCAGCCGTCTTTACTTCCCCAGGAAAAACATAATGTTACCCATTGTAGGCTGGGTCGACCTGCGACGCCCCATACCAAGATAAAAAGACAGCAGTGGGTTTCGAATGCGGTACGTTGGAATTACGAGTCGGACTCGCAACTCATAAGCCACGGACGCCGCTATTGTTGAAAACGCAAGCTAAAATTAGTAAAATGAATTATATTGAAAACGTGAAATGTGAATAGTAAAATGGACTGTAATTGTCGAAAAGGCTTCTTTAAAAAAAAAAAAAAATAGAGTGTGGTTGTAAAAGAAGCCAGAGCAGATTAGTAAAATAGTGTGACTGTACCAAAATCGAGATGAATTTAGAACAGTGGCCTTTAGCTGGGAAAAGCAAGAATGGAAATATCTTACAAAAAGGTTGACGGAGTCAACAGTTGCTGAGAAATAAAAAGATGAGAATCCTATTAACAGATATAAATAGCTTACTAACCCTTCGCGGCATATAAACAGCACGATAAACACAATGCCATGTATTGATTAGCATTTGCAGTTCTCTTTATGCCTAGTGGCACAAACGGTTTCAGAGAAGACTTTCCATGCTTTCTTGTCCTGTGAAATCTTCAGTGCAGTTTTCTATGTCAGAGATACAGCACTCATGTCACTTTCGATCGTTCGTCTCCATGTTGTTTTTGGGACCCCTTCTTTCTCTCTCTCTCTGGTGTCCATGTGAGAGCTTTTTGGCAAATATATCAGGATTCATTTTCATAACATGGCTAAGCTATTTCCATCTTATCATGGTTAGCATACTTTCTAGAGTTTCTTGGTTTGTGACTTGAAGTAGTTTAGTGTTTGAGATTGTATCTGGCCAGAAAATTTAATAATTCTATGTAGACATGTGTGATGGAAGGTGGAGAACTTGTGGGCATCCTTTCTGGTCATTCTCCAGCATTTTGCTGCAGAAAGAAGAACTGGCAAAATGATGCTCTTGTAGAGTCGGAGTTTCGTTCCTCTGTAGTAACTGTTGGAATTCCCGATTGGCCTCATCTTTGCAAAAGCAGCTCTTGCTTTGTTCAGGTGTGACTGTATGTCTTCCGCTGTCCCTCCCAGTAGGGACACCACACTACCAAGATGTGTGAAATGTTCCACATTTTCAAGTGTTTGGTTATTTATGGTCACTGGTTGTTGGTTTTGACTGTTTGCCATGATCTTAGTTTTCCTTGTATTTATTCTTAGTCAAACAATTTCTGCTGTGCTATGTAGTCTGTTACTTTTCTTGTTCATGTTTTTGTGATAGGAGTGCTATATCATTTGCAAAATCAAGGTCCTCAGGCATGGTGAATGGAGTCTATCGTATGCCTCTCGATGTTTACTGTGTTTTTTAGCATCCAATCAAATCACAAGGTTGTAGAGGAGGGATGACATAACACATCCTTGTCTTACACCTATGTTTACTGGGAAAGATGTTTTGTAATTTTTTTAAAACTG